TAACAACAGAGTCAGGTAGTGCATTCCAGGCATTGACCACTCCGTTGCTGAAGACGTATTTTCTGCAATCAGGAAAAAAAAAATCAAAAAGAGATTTTAAAAGATATAGGCATTGATTAGTAGCACAGAAGGGCTATGATTGATGTATAATCCAGCATAAGTATTAACCAATACTGTACACATGAATTGAACCCATATAGAAAGATTAAGTAGGTTGTGGATGTTTAATATTGCTGTTTTTTTAATCTCTTACAAAGCAGTGCATGATAACAGAAAAACAGCACTTAGTTAAGACCTTCGGTTCACACACCATTGTTTTTCACATACATATCTTGTGCGCTTGGTTCTGAAAAATGAATGAGAAACTGATTGATTTGTATTTCTCATGTAGTGGCATATGAGTAAAACTTCAGAAGTTGCTAGGATGGATGGGACAGACAGACAGACAGAATGACAGTGGACAGATTACTTAGAAACTTGTTCTCTATAGCAAAGTAAACAGAGGTTGTGAACACTTTGGTTAATGATCTGTAACATGATTGATAAGACGACCATCTTATAATTGGCATTGTAACTAGCCACAAAGTGTGAGCCTAACACGCCATTTCTCATACAGAAACTCAAAGCAACAGCTGAGGTTGTCATGGTCAAAACTCATCCATACTGTTTCTTTTTTTCTTACCAGGATTTAATAAGCTGCCTCCAATGAACAGAATGATGAATGAAGTTGCTAAGCAGAAGAAAAGGCTCCTTAAAAAGTATGAAATATTGTATATTATTTTAAAAGCTGTCGTTAGTACTTTTTGCCTCTCAGCTTCAGTGAATTATAAGAGAAAATGTTAACCCAGAGATTCAACAAACATTAATTCAAGGTATCATCCTAGCAAATACCCTGAAAGATATATGCAAATTCCTGGGAAGAAGTTAACAGACAGAAACTCTTTAAAGAGAAGACATGACACTCCTAAAATAAGATGAGACAAAACATATCACAAAGAATGAAGTAAATTGGAAAAGGGATAACAAAGATCCACACTGGTTTTTTTTTAATGTAAACAAATAACCTGTAATTCCACTCAGCTCAACTCCTGGTAATTTTTTTGAACATGTTTATGTGCATTTTAGCAACTGGTCCTGACATTAATTTAAGAAAGAAAAATTGAGCCTAAGGTCTTAAGTTCATATCCCCCTAACTACAGGATGAACATGTTCCAGTTTTTAAATACCATGTCCTGATGACATTACCTTCATCTCATCCTCAAACCCTAGCTGAATCAGTTTACCTAATCTTTTATCTGTTCCAGTTTTAAAGTAATTTTTTTTCTCTTTTCTCCTGGCACACTATAATTTGGTTCCACCACAAAACCGCGTTCGACTAAACCGCACTCGACGAAACCGCGTAGCTGATGTCATCAACAGGGCGACAACAGCGCAGAGACAGAAGCACTCTGTAAACGCTAAACCTAAAATTACTTTAAAACGGGAACAGAAAAAAGATTCGGTAACCTCATTCATGT